CCTGGACACTCTCGGTCACCTGGAGCAGAACCCCACCTTTCCAGTTTGCACTGGGTCCTACAGTCCACATACTTGTGCTGGGCACTGGTGATTCGTATTGAGAGCAACTCCTGCTTCTCCTTCACTTTGATTCATTAGTTTGATGAAAGAGATGGAAACGTGAGGCTTGAACGCACAACTTCTGAGCAGCGGTCTTCTGCCACTCTGCTACATCCACGACTCCTTTTCCTTGCCGCAATCCCAGTTTTCCTTAGAGCTCACTCATGTCTTTCTCCCCAGCCCTAGTCCCAGTACAGGTGCAGCTCTGGCCCTGGCCCCTGGGATGCAGTGTGATGAGACACAGGGTCCATCCCAGCCTCCCTCCATGACTTTAGGGCCTGGGCATGTCCTTGCTTTCTCTGCTGGCCCTGAGGATCCCAGACCTGCAAACATGCAGCACTGTGGGCCAGAGCAGGTCTGGGAGTGAACCAGCAGACCAGAGGGACTGAGCTGGTTGTTGGATGTCAAGCAGGACTTGGTGGCCACTGGAGTGTGTCACTCCAACCCTTCCTCTGGACCTTCTTGTGTCCTATGAAGAGTCCAGGCTAGCAGAGGACAACTCTCCAGGAACCACTCAGTGCTGTAGCCCCAGTTTCCCTGCTAGTTGTGCCTGGTTATTAAATAGTTTACCAGTCCCATGTGAACTTGCCAGCAGCCAGGTACCTGAAAGTGGAGGGAGGGAGCCAGTTTCCATGGAGACTGAGCCCCTGCATGGGCCTGCACCCAAAGCCTGTCCTAATCTTGCATCATGCAGCCAGTGAAAGGCCTGGGCCAGTGAAAGGCCTGGGCCAGTGAAGGCCACGCTAGGAATCCCATCACCTATAAGCAAGAGTTTTGACAAACACACCTGGTTTCAGTGTTTGTGATCTTCCAGGGTTTAGCTGCCTTCTGGGAAGTGGCTGATTTCAGGCAACAGGTGGAGAAGGTAAGTCTGGACATCACGTGTGTCACATCAGAAAGCAGCCACGGCCAGCAACGGCTGCAGCAAACAGCTCCACTGTCCAGAGATAGCCGCGACACCACACTGTTTAAACCCATTCGCTCACAGTGACACTGCTCTCTCCTCCAAAAGTAAGCAAGCAAAGAAAACTCCATCCTCATCACTGGAGAATGCAAATAACGGATTTTGAAAATTACTAAATACAGGGAAAAGATGAAACTTTTAGCCTCACTTTTTGGAATAAACTGAAAACCACAGTCACCATAGATTCGACTAGAAGGAATTCTTCTGATGAAATATTCCACCTAAAAAATAAGATGGGGGCCAGGGATTTAGCTCAGTGGTTCTGCTATCCACATTGCAAGTACAAGGTCCCGAGTTCAATCCCCAGTACCATAAATAAATAAATAAATAAATAAAGATGGGGAAACAGAACAAGAACATCCCTGTTTTGTCACACTTACTGAACGAGGGACCTAGGCAATGATCAAATCTCTCTCTCTCTCATACACACACACACACACACACACACACACACACACACACACTCACACACATTCTCTCCAAAAAAAACCCCAGATATGGGTGTCCCTAGCATAAGCAACATCACCTCCTATAAAACACCCTTGCTCAAGTACCCAAGCCAGGATCCCATCAGAACTCTCCCTCTATCAGTTCCCAGAGGACAGACAAATGCATGCAATAACTCATTGGAGAGTCAAGTATCAAAATTCAGTCTGGGAAAATCCACAGAACAAATAAACAAGTAAGTGATAAGGGATGAGGGAAAATTACAGATTTAAAAATGGAAACTAGCTGCAGCATGGAACCTTGTTTGGATTCTAATTTGAACAATCTAAGTTTTCTTTAAATTATGTTAACAGGAGAAATTTGAATTTGGGCTATGATAGTTTTTGAGGGTTTGCTTATGCTATTGTGGTTATCTTCCAAGACAAGCATCTTTGCTTGTGGAGATACAAGTAAACTTTAAAGTATTTGTTGGACGGTGGGCAGGAGTACTGAGAAAGTGACGTTACACAGGGAGGCATGACAAACGTTGTGGGCAGGTGAGGCATACATGGGGTCTGTGCTCATAAAATGCACACAAAGCTTATTGAATTTTCCTTACTGTATTTATTAAATATAATATTACATACACACGGGCACTTAATGACTTATTCTAATAAAATGGTGTTTGGATCTATCTTGCATATTGAGGTTCCATAAAATATTTAACTCTTAAAAAAGGCTTTTTCATGGAAAGCACAATTTCATAGCATCCATTTGCTGTGATCATTCGGAGTGCTATAATGTTGTAACATTTAAGAAAAGGAGAATAGGAGAATACAGACAGGACCTCTGGGGTCCTAGTCACTCTGCCCCGGTCACGTGCTGACGGTGATCCTTTGAACTGTGTTCAGTTCAATCAAGACATCCTGCAGTTAAAATGACACTCTTCTAGATTTCAAAGTCTCAATACAACAAAGACTAAACTACATTATTAATTTTACATTCATGACCAAAGGTTTGTTAAGAACACTGCTCCCTCCTATTCCACTCGAACTGGTGTTTGTCGTCTCCTTATACCAATGCAGCCCTACCCCTATTCTCACCGCTAGTTCCAAAAGCAAAACCTTTCCATAGTCACAGATATTGGGTGGATCAACTTATAACCCACAAAGAAGTTTGATGTTTTTCCATCTGTTTCTGTGGTACTGGGAAGGGGACCCAGGGACATTCTATCACTAAGCTACATCCCCAGCCCTTTCTATAAACATAAAAAGGTCTCACTAATTTGCCCAGGCTGACCCTGAATTTGCAATCATCCTGCTTCAGCCTCCTAAGTAGCTGGGATGGCAAGCGTGTGTCACCTCACCGGCTTATTTTTTTCACTCTAGATCCACAGAGAGAAAAACAGCCCACAAGCAAGGGCTCTGAGCCTCCAAGGAGCCCTCCCTCTGAACTACTAGTCTGCTCTCTGCCACTGAGAAGGAGAGAACCTTCAGGGCAGAGTCTTTTCTCTTCCATGAATTTGAGAGTCTAAATCTCTGAGGATTAGGAGGCCCAGCCAGTATCAGCAAAATGATAGGAAAAATAGAGTAATGATGACAAAATAACAGTCTGAGACCCATTCAGTATTTCTGGCCACAGTCTCCCTTCCCTCCGAAATGCTTGGCACTGGCAATTATTTCACTCTAGGAAGTCTTACCGATTAGGGCAAGGTGAAAAGGAGAGCATTGTGCCCTGAAAAAAAGCAGCAAATGAAAAGCCCAAGTTTCACCAGCACAGAGAATGCAGTTTTTCTTTGCTCATTCAGGAGCAACTAGGGTACGCAACACACCTAGGAGATGGCCGGCTGTGGCCGGCATGCTTTACCTCCTCGTCACAGTGTCACCTGAGAAATAGAGGTCTGGAGAACTGAGCTGGCCTTGGGCAAAGTGAAGCGCAGGTCAGGAAAAACAAAAGGCCACGTGCCTTGATCGCAAAAGGCCGCCCAGAAGACACCCTGCACCCTGAGCCTCCACCTAGCACACATTCCACGTGTTAATTACTTGCGAATCCATTTGGTAGGAACCTATGTGCGTTCATCCACTCGGTCATTCACTGTGCTAGTCAGCTTTTCACTGTTGTCACAAAATACCCGTAAATGCAAACCCAGGGCAAGGAAGGTCGGTATTGGCTCACAGTTTCCAAGATTTCCGTCCATGGTTGGCTGCCTCCTCTGCTTCACGCCTATGGCAAGGCAGAAACCCAGTGGTGGGAAGGCATGCCAGAGGAAAGAGCTCACCTCACGGCAGCCAGGAAGCAGAGAGAAGAGGAAAGGAGGGGCCAGACACCAGCTCAAAGCCATGCCCCCAGAGCCCTGGTTCATCCAGTTAGGCCCAACTCTTAGTAAGTCCACGGAGCAGGGAACGCCTCCATGGATGAACCCACTGATGAAGTTAAACTCCTCCTCATCCAATCACTCCCCCAAAGCCTCTCCTCTAACACTGCTGTACAGGGGATCAACCTTCCAACTTGTGAGCCTTTCGGGGGATATTTTAGATTCAAACCACAACATCTACGTGAACTTGACTCTGCAGCCAGCTGCCAGAAATAGATACAAAGACAAAATGAACGCTCTTTCTCAATTCAAGAAAGTCACCACCTGGCTCAGAATCATTTTGAAAGGCAAGAGACCAAGCCCTCATTTGTTTGCCTTCTTAATTTGAGAAACTTCTTAGTCTGACTTTACCCATACTGTTTTTGTGTTTTATTTGTTTGTTTTATCTGAGCTTAGAGGCAGGAAGACTTGCAATCAAAGACTGTAATTTTTTTTCATTGTTTTATTTCCTGTCTATTATAGTTGGATTCAGGACCCACTTTTCTGCAAAGTCTTCCATTTGCATCTGTGTACACTGTAAATATTCAAATCCTCAACAAATGGGAAAGAAAACACTCAGAAAGCCAGTTACTTGACATCAGTGTACTTAACTGATTTCTTCCTTGACTATTAGCCAGCTTGGTGTTGCCCAAACATGATACAGTGGCAGTGCAAGCTAAAATGAGTGTTATTTAGCCCACACAAGATTTTCTTTTTAATTGAATTGATGTTTTGTGATGCTTCAGTTTTGCTTTGCAGCACTGTAGATCAAACCCAAGGCCTTGAGCATTCTAGGCAAGCACTCAATCACTGAACACATCTTACCTCTGAATGGGTGCTTTAAAATTAGGACATTTTATGTAAAAATCCAGACTTCTGGTTTCTGATGACAAATTGGAAACTCTACTCAGAAAGCACTGCACGGACTCCCATGCCTGCCCTGTTAACAGGGCTGGACGTGACTGGCAGCCATCCTCTTCCAAGAGCCTGTTCATTCTAGTTCCCCACAGAACCACTTCCTGTTGTGCCCCACCCTTGTGATACGCACGCCATTATCATCAAATACCTCACCTACACAGTTGCTTTCTTATGGTTTGATCATATTTCTGTGTCTCCATTTTTATCCAAAGATAGGAAATAAAGCTCTAATATCTTGTTCATTTACCCTGGCCACCTGATTCCTACAGCTATGGCTCTGTTATGGCTTTTAACCAGATGCCCCTGAAGCCTCGTGCACTCACAGATGGGGCCTTGGGAGGTGACTGAATCATGGGTGTGTGGTACTGATCAGTCCACTGACTGGCTTAGCGAAGTTCTGGGTGCGGATGAAGAGGGAAGACTCACCCTGGCTGTGGATGGCAGCGACCAACAGACTTGTAACCTGGATGGAATAAGAGGGGAAACAAGGAGGGAGGTGCTTGCTGCCTTCTGCCTGCTGTGTATCTCTGCCAGACTGCCCTGCCTTTAAACCAGCCGACTATGGGCTGAACTACAAACTGTGAACTAAAATAAACCTCTCCTCCTTTAACTTCCAGTTGTTGGGTATTTTGTCCTAGCAATGAGAAAGTTGTTAAGACAGCCTCTGAGGCATAGGATAGACAAAGTACACTGCAAATTAAACCAGCCAGCGAATGAGCAAGTAAAGGTCTTCCATGGAGCACAAAAGCACGTGACTAAAAACTCCACATTGCCTTAGCGGATTAGTCATCAGTAGCTGAGAAACAAAACTCCCCCAAATGCAGAGGACTGTATTTGACTTTCCATTCTGAGATCGGAAAGTTGGGCTGCACCCAGGAGGGTGGCTATTCCATGGTCTCACCTAGGTTCATACAGGCATCCATGGTGAGCGGATGCCCAGGGCCTGGCACACACCCTAGCAGTCAGCTGGCTGCAGGCCGGGCAGCAATGCAACTGGGCTCTGCGGATGCTCTACCTCAGGCCTGCCCGACTCAGCTTGTGACCCTGGCTGTGGACTTCCTGTGTTAGTCTGCTCAGGGTGCCATGCAGGATAGCACAGACCAGGGGTCTAAATAACAGAAACGTATTTGCCCACAGTTCTGGAAGCTGGAAATCCAAGATCCAGGTGTAGTAGTACAGGTTCTTTGGAGGCCTCTCCCAGGTCTCAGGAGGCTGCCTTGTCACTGTGTTTTCATGTGGCTTTTCCCCTGGGCGTGTGCAGGGAGCCTAACTCTTCATAAGGTACCACCCCACTGCACTAGGGTCCCACTCATGTGGCCTTATTGAAGATGTATTATTCTGTGAAGGCCCTGCCTCCAGACACAGTTGCCCTGGGGGTTAAGGCTTCCCCTGTGAAATTGTGGGGATGCAATCAGTTGCCAACAGTTCCCAAGAGCAACCAGAAGAGGAGCCCCTTGTGTCTGGGACCTGCTATTGTCTCACCGGCCCAAACCATTCTGTGGCCAGGCTCTCAGTCTGAGGGGCCACCCAAATGCAAGGGGGCAGGGAGGCAAGAAGAGCAAATGGGAGGAAAGTGGTCAGCATATCAGGACAGCAATCTTACCCCAAACCGATCCTTTTGAACTACAACCCACTTTAAATCAATGCTGCAGGAGTTACTGTGTCTCCCATCTCCGGTCAGGTGACTACCCAGAGCCAGTGGCGGCAAATCTGTAGCACATGTCCGCAGTGGGCAAGCAGAACCCTCTGTGAGCATGCAAGCCAGTACAGCCAGCATTGCCCGCAGCAGCTGAGCATTCAGGTTTAACTACGGTGTTGGCACTTTGTGACAACTAAGAGGGTTTGGGGTTGCAGTTTGGGCACTGTGTCTCTAAGAGGTTCGCCATCACCGAGAAGCTGAGTAGGGGATCCCCTTCTCCTTCAAATGGCTGGCAGAGACTGGGTCATGGATAGAGTCTGCAGGGTAGAAAGGAAACAGAGTGGATCTCTGTTGGGAACCCTTACAGCGAAGGATGTCATGCTGTCAAGAAAATGTGACGCCAGAGGCAGCTGTGGCCACTTTGCCTCCACTGGAGGACGAAGCCACCTTTTGGAAGAGAGAGGAGGAAACAAAATGTAGACAAAGGCCCCAAAGTCTGGCGTCCGTGCCTGGGTCCCGCCATGCCCTGGCTGCCCAGCATCACACGCACCCTGTTGCTTGGGTGGCCCTGAGCTGCCCCTTAGAGCCAAGTGCACAGCAGCCACTGCAGGTGCTGATTGGATCAGCCCGCCTTGCAAGAGCACCCGACTGCAGGGAGCCCTGCCTTCCATTTGCAAACTGGCGGGGTGGTCTACAGTGGTTCCTGTCTCCGCTTTGTCCTCTGCAAAGGTAGAATGTGTCTATTTTGTAAGCTCCAAGCCTGAGCTTCTGATCAGATGAGATGTTGCATGGCAAAACATTTCAAACTGTATAAATTGTCAAACCAATATAAAGAAAAGAGAAAACAGCATCTTTAAGGATGAAAGGATTGACAGCTAATAGCTCGAATTATGTCACACCAACAATCCATCCATTTAGTTGAGTCAGTAAGAGGACTATCAAACGTGTTTACTGTTACAGAGACCAAAATAACCACACACTCTACACCGGGCCTCCACCTATAATTAACTTTTCAATTAAATAAAGGCAGCCTGGGTATTGTGTGATGATGTTTGACAGTGTTAAGGGAGGGGGGAAAGAGAGGGGAACTGGATCTATCAGGATGACTTCGGGTGCAGGGAGCCAACACCAAGATGCCTGACTCTGAAGATAAAGAAATCACTGACTCAACAATGAAGCGGGTAGCAGGTAGGCACCCGTGTGAGGACTTCGAGAGTCTGATTGTGTGGACACTGTCTCCCTCTCCTTATGCCCTCTGCCCTGTTGGTATTGGTCTCACATTCACAAAAATCCCACAGGCCATCACTAGAAGCATGGGCATGTAGGATCACACATTTTGCCCTTGCAATTGCCAGTGCAAAAGCATCAACTTGCTAAATAAAACCCTTTAATATATCCCCACTATTAGAACCCTAGTCCGAGGTCCCTTTATTTTTTCAATGTACCAGGATCTTCAAGAACTAGAGGGGGCCCGGCCTCCCTCAATCCCAGGGAAGTCCTGTTTGTCCTAATCCAACCAATGATCGATACTGAAATCTCTGTCTGAAAACTGTCCCCGTGAAAGGCAGCATCTTCCTCCTGTCTGTCACACACATTTGGAGGCCTATAATCACTGAGGTGGGCTGAGGACCCCATCAGCTCCCTGATCCCACTGCAGGGAAATCTGCAGATTAAGATTATAGAAAGTGCAATCAGCTAAGTACTTCCCACTGAGACCTGAGGAGGTAAATAACAGAAGTAAAACTCGTTTACTATCATGCACAGTGGTTTGGATGCCCATTTAAGTCTGACATTTATTTTAAATTTTAAAATAGAACTTTAAAAAAGAATTTTAAATCGGCATAAATCTCCTAACCTTTCTGATGTGCTCTTTCTCTGCATCCACCACAGACGTTCAGACGAAAGTCTTCACATTGACGTAAACATTTTTTCAGCTGATTCCTAAGGGGGAGGAGGACAGAGAGCTTGGTCACTCTGTGTCGGAACCAGAGAAGCTAAGTGCAAGGTACATCCGAGGTTTGGAACAACCCCGCCTAGTCATTCTCCTGCCGGCTGAATGTGTGTGCCTTTGCATAAGCAAAACCATACGAGACACGCAGGAGCATCCAAACCTCAGTCTCCAGTCAAGCAGAAAGAAGCAGCTATCCATGCAGGAGTTTCTTGGGTCTGACATCGTATATCCTAATGGCACACCACTGAAAACAAAAGCAAACGTGCCCACTTCAGAGATGAACACCATGCTGCCTAGTACTGAGGAGCTTTGGGACCAAATGCTAACAGTGAGTTTTAGTTTTATTCAATCCATCCTACCAGTCAGTCTAAAAATAAAACTCCACTTACTTAAGCAGGCAAAGTTCCCGCCATTTCATTCTGTAAGCCCATTTTCTTTGAATTATTGTATGTGTGAACTATAGTTAAGGAGATCACCACCTAGGTGGCAGCGGGGGTCATTCATACGTTTGTATTTATATCCCCATGCAAGCAAATCATCCTGTAGACAGTCAGTGCTGCATGTGTGGGGGCTAAGGCTTGCTGAAATTTACACACTTGATTATTTGCAAATGTCACCTAGATGCCATCACTCACCTGGTGGTCAACCCTGTGTTTGTGGATGTGCACTGCAGTCTAACCAACCAGAAAGTCCTGGTCAAGTTATTCTACCATGTAAACATGATGGTGCCAAAGCAAGAATAAATAACTCTTACATTTCCCATAGGGTAGATAACTAGAGGGTGTTCATTTTGCCATTCCTAAAACCTCACAAAATAACAGGTTGCTTTTCATAGGACTTCTAAAAAGTCTATGATCTGCTAACAAACCACCTTCGATAAGATTCTTTGTGTCCTCCGAGGGACAGATAGACAAGATCAAGTCAGAAGTTCTTCATTCTTGTCAGAGAGCTTCTCCTCCTACCTCTAAGGACAGAGCAGCTAAGATTCCAAGCCAGCTTTGCTAGCATTACTTGAACTGGAAAAGGCCCGGCCACATGGAGTGGTGATGCTTGTATCAAAAGTTATAGAAGGTTCCCCAAAGAACATCTGCTATGGGTTTGCCTGCCGTGGCAATCTGGGGGAGAATGTGTCTCTAGGGCTCGTGTGTTGGAAGCTTGTTCCCAGCCTGGTGATGTTGAGAGGTGACAGGGAACCTTCAAGAGCTGGGGTCAAGTACAAGGTGGCTGGGTCTGTGGGGCACTGCCCTCCTATGTCAGTTCTAGCAAGCGGGCCGTTAAGAGAGTGGGTCTGGCTCCTCCCACACCTCCAGTCTCAGCTCTGACCTCTCTCCTGTGCAGACACTCCTGCCATTGTTGTACCACCTGCCATGAGGTCCTCACCAGGTCCTCCATGCCAGGGCTGGGCTCTTGAACCCTAGAGATATCAGCTAAATATGCTTCTTTTATCTATGAAGTAATGGCCTCCAGGATTCTGTTACAGTAACCAAATACAGATTGATATATTTGCCCTTTCTCCTTTTTCCAAATATCTAAGTGTAAGTTCCTGTCAGAGAATCCCTCTCTACCACAAGGTGGTTGCACAAACCTATATTAAGGCTCCAGAGATGGAAGCGGGGCCCAAGCTTAGCCGGCAGACAGCTCCTCTCAGGCCAATGTTGTACCCAAGGTTGAAGCTCTGCTAATGAGGCCCTCATTCCCTTTCCAGTGAGATGGCCGACAGCTACTACTGGTGACCACCTTTTCCCCCAGGAGGAGAGTCTGCTCCAGGATGAAGCTGACACTGAAGGCAGCAGAGCGGTGACAGGAAAGAGTAAGATTCCTAAAGACACCACTATGCACTCGGCCAACCTGCCTACAAGCTGGCCTCTGGCTTTTCCGGGGGATAAGACAATACATTCCCTTTCCAAAGGAAAATTAACCTGTGTTTTGAGTGGGACCTCAGACTGGAGGACTACTATCAAATCCAGTACTTGTGGGCAGTCCAGAGAAACACATTTTTGGGAAAATGGAGGAATTACATTTTGTAAACCACCAAATTAGGACAAGAATGCAGTTCAGAGTGTCTTGGTGCAATCCTCTTTGACAAACCCAGGTTAATCTGGTGTTTTACAGTTCCAGAAACTACGAAGGTATTTATCTGTATTGTGGTTCTAAAACCACACACATTCTACAATTAGCCCAATCCTATATCCTGCATTAAGGTGTTCAAAGGGATTTGTGTGTGCCTTAACCAACGATGAGCTGAATGTCTCTCTTAAAGTGTTCTTTTAATATTTCCCAGCAATGACAGATGCAAGTGCTGGGAACATTGTGGTACAATTAATAGTGACCCAAGAAAATAGAGTTCTTCTTTGCTGCCTTTATGTAAATTGATTCAAATACTTAATATTATTTCCAGTGATTCTCAGATTCTGCTCATGCTGCTTCTCTCCAGGATAAAAGTGACTGTTGGCTTCCCACTCTAAACTCCACCTTCCTACACAAATACAAAAGTCTCGTAATTTTCTTTATGTTTCAAGCTTTCTATTGTAGTAATATCTAGTCGATGTCATATCCCACTGCTGGCAATTCCCATGTTAGATGTAAATGGTTTTGATCAACTTCATTTAATTCAAAGTAATGTAATTATTCTAGAATGATGAATTTATAAGGAAAAAAAAAGAAGAGACATATATAGCCAGCCTGGGATACTTTATATTCCCAAGGGACTTACAACATGAGACACCAGTACTTGGAGAGATGGTGAAGTTCAGCAATGGGGGAAGGGCATTTCTGAACACTGAGATTTTTACAAAAAGCTCCTTTTGAGTCTCTAAAATGAAAGGGTAGCAAGGACCTAAAACAGCAAGAGTACAGAAGAGGCTTATGTCTGTTACACATTCTGGTGGTCTCTTTTCTTCTAGAAATAATTAATGTGCACATCTAAAAATAAAGATTTTTTAAAACAGAAGCCACAGTACCATTATCACACATAACAAATGACAAAAGCTTGCTAATATCACTTTTGATTTGTCAAGTTGTGATCCAAACAATCCCTCTCTCTACCTCCCAGTGAGATGAACAGGGCTTGCATTCTTCCTGATATATACCACAGCTGCTACTGTCCCAAAGACAACATGACTGAACTTGGACTGGAACTTGGAGCCAAAATAGACCTTTTCTCTTTTTAGGGTGATTATTTCAGTGCAGTATTTCTCACGGCACTAGAAAGCTGGCCAACACATCATAGGTGGCTGCTCCTCTCTTCCTAATGGTTCACCAACTTGTTTGCCCATGATGTCATACTTTTTCTGTATTCTAAATTTTGCCAGTCACAACCCTGTGTTGTCCTTTAATATGTTTCTCTTCAGGTTCAATATTTTAGCAAGAAAATTGCACACATGCTATCGGGTACTTGATTTAGGTGCACAGTTTCTGCTCATTTTTCTTTTTGGGAAGCGGGTAGTCAGTAAGTGCAGCACAGAAAACAGAAACATCCTGAGGTTCCGATTCTATCATCCATCATCAATACAGAGCAGGAGCCCTTCAATATAAAGAGAATACACCATTGGGCTACTTGACGTATAGCTGTAAAAGCAAGGCTAAAAGAAAACTTGACTCTTTCCAGTTATTTGCCGACTGAGTTGGATCTCTATTATCTTTCAAAATAAACCGATGACTAAAGTTTTTGTTCCATTGTAAGTCACAGGTGAGTTTCCCATCCACTTTCTGCTGTTTACTTGTGTGTAATCCATGAGATTTAACACATGTGGTATGTTTAGGTGCATTGTGGTTTGTTGTTGCTCTGTGTATGGACTGCAGTACAGTAAGTGTGCTTTCTGCTGTTTCTCTTACTGGGCAGGCTTCCGACGTGTCACCTGGTCAAGCCAGAGGTAAAGTTTTTGGAGCTGAGCTGAGGAGTCCTTCTCCCGCATCTGTTCCTGAGGTGAGATGCTCCAGCTTCTCCTCAGGCTTGCTTTAGTGGGATGTGGATGCCAGGAACATCCACGGTTACCAGTTAATTCCTGGTTTCCGAGCCTGACCAGTGCAGAGTTAGGAAATGTGTATTTTAAGTCAAAAGACATTAGGAGCTCATACCAATATTCCCAATTCAAATTTATAATATTAGGGTTTTAGGTAAATTCCTTTCCATTTTTCTCTCTTTCCCTTATGTGATACTTCTTGATGACACTAATACATTATTTATCCTAAAATTTTACTGAAATACTTTCTACATCACAACAGCAACATTATTATTAACAAAAAAGAACAATTCTCTGAGGTTCTTTCTGTCCTTAACATATATTTCACTAAGGTACACAGCCAAACTTTTTTGTCTTTGGTAGTACCTTAAATTAATTCCTTTCTATGTATGAGTTCAACCAACAAGTCAATGCATAACTGTATTGGTTTCATTTTGCTTTTGGTTTTGAAGAAGGATCAAGGAAAAAGCAAAATATCATCAAACTACAAATAATAATTTCTTTAACATTTTACTACATGTCCTTCTAGTCATTTGCACACAGATAAATTATTATAAAAGTGAAACCATAGTTACTGCTATGGTTTGTATGTACAGATGCTGGACACTGGTCTCAGGATGGTCACAGTGAAGTGGTGGACCCTTCAAGACGTGAGGCCTCCAGGGAGGTCATTAGATTCCTGAGGCTCTGACCTCAGAAGGGATGGATGCTGGTCCTGCAGGAGTGAATCACTTCCTGTGAGAGCAGGGGCTATCATGAGCGAGCACCACCCGTTCCTGCTCTCTTGCTTCCTGTTTGGCCTGTGATCTCTTACACACTTTCCTACCACATGACACTATTTGCTGTGTTATGACACAGCCAGAAGGCCCTCACCTGTAGTCAACCAGAGGGGGCTACCTCAGCTTAGACTTTTTGCACCTCAAAAGGTTGAGATGAATAAACCTTTTTAAAACTCAACTTCCAGAGACTCCTGCAGTAAATCTCTAGTCCCCATCTGCCCAGTTGTGTGACACCGGCCTGAGAAAAAAATACACTAAAAGGCAGAACTAAGAGAGAAAAAGCAGGGCCAGGACGACCAATGCCAGGGCAACCAACCGACAAAGGTGCCGGCCACTCCCAGGCCCTGACTTTTATTGGCAATCAATGGGGGGAAAGATGATGTGTGGTTTCTATGGAAATTAATGTAAACAAGGCTGAGAAAGGAGAAGACAAAACATTCTCAAAGTAGGAACAGAACAGACAAAATATATGAGTGTAATTAGAACACAGTCCTTCTAGTCTGAAGGTTTTAGTTATGGGAGCAGAATTAGGGTGTGAGTTACTCTGACGTCGGCATGTAGGCTTCATCCAGACTCACTTCTATAAACAGCCAACTGTGGGGTTGACTCTTCACAGCCTGCCTTGGACATAGCCCATATTACAGTCCTCTGCATCTCCCCCTTCTCTGTTTGACAACAGCAGCTGCATCAGGTCTGCTGATCTTTGCAGGCCCGAGGGCTGCACCAAGTGAGGGGAATCACTCAGATGCAGCCTTTACATGGCTCCTACCAGGGTGTCACAGTGGGCTACTTGCCACGAATCCATCTTGGGCCATGGTGGTACCTTCTGGGATGATGGCCACAGCATCTTTTTATTTTCTGTTGAAAAATAAGCATACTCTGGCCTCTATGTTATTAATTGTAATGAACCATTTACCTTTTAGTTAGGACATGCTTTGACAACACTAGTGTCTAGGATGTGTCTGTAGATCTGTCTTTGTGTATATTTACTTTCCATAAGTGAGTCTAAAAAATTTAAAATGAAAGTAACAAGATCTGATTAAGCTTGGAGGTAGCTGTACCCCCCATTTTTGTTTATGTAATTATGCTTTAGGGAAAGGTGAGTATGTCCAATGATGGCTCGTCCCTGTGAGTTCTCTAACGGACCTGTGTCACAAGGACATTCAGTGTGTCTGACTTAGGTGTCTATAATAATTTAATAATAAGAGAATCTTCAACTGCAGTTACAGGAGGAGGTGTAGTTTCAGTCCAACTGCTTCGAGATGAGAAGGGTTTATATAGGGAAGACAGCAGTTAGGGGCTCTCTTCAGGGAGCTAATTGAACAGGCCTTAAATAATAATCATGTTGTAATTTAGGAATTATAAACTTTCTTTATAAAGTCAGTCTGGTGGACTTTGGTAAAAAATACCTAGCGCATTTGTTGTTGATTTTGTCCACATGATAAGTTGGAGTCTGGAAGTCTACAGGCAAGAATAAACAAGTTTTTTAAGAAACTGGGGCATTATATTCAAAGTGTAAGTACTAAAATTAAAAAAAAAAAAAAAAAAAAAAAAAAAAACAGGTTGGGGAAAGAGCCATGTATAGAAACTGTTTTTAAAGGATTAAAATAGTGATTGTAACCTGTTGGCTCCTAGATCCTTTTACTAATGGAGGCTATCTATAAGTCTGATATTTTGTTATAATTTTTCCTTTAATTTTAGCTATAAAAAGATTGAAAATTTAATAATTTTAAAAAACAATTTTAGCTAAAAAATTTTAAAACGCTTGTTGAGGTCTATAAATTTTACCATAGTTTTGTCTAATAACCCATAATAGGGGTGCGTCAGCAGTGTACTTGGAAACTGCCAGTAGGGGTCAGCAACTGGACCCCTTCTTATACACAGCTTTATTATTAAGGTCCTGACTTCATACATCTTTGGATTGTATTTTTCTACGGGGTGCTTAGACCAAGTTAAGGTGGGACCTATATTAGTTAAAATTAACCTCTTGCTGTCTATCAAGGTCAATCAAGTCCCCACAGGCATTACTTTGAACCCTGTATAGAGCCTCTCAGCTCCTGTCAATGTCAGCCATCAGGCTGTGTCATAGCCTTGCTTGACCATGTTGCTTTCTGTGAAAGCATGGGAGATTTTTCCCTCCAAGTGACACTCCTTTAGCACACTGTTGATTCTTATCTTTTTGGTGTCCAATAATCTCCCTGTTCAGGAGGTTGGGTGACTTACCAAAGTTGTAGGATCTTATAGAAAAGATTCTTCATGTCCAGAGTTATTTGTAGACCTTGAAGGGTCAGGGACATAATGCTGGCTGTCTTCTTAGTCCAGTTACCTTTCTAGTTCTGTTCTTTGTTGAACACCCAAAAGAGAAGATCAATAACATTAGCATTGCAATGAGAACAGTGAGCTTAATTATTATAATTGTACTTGGATATCAAGCATTTTAAAATATAAAATATAGTTAGAAGACTGTCATTTTTTTTAATCAATCATGGTTGTTCTAGTTGTTGGATTCCTATAAAATGTTAACAGAAGAAAAAGCTCCAACTCAAGAGGCACACATAATATTTTAGCATGACAATCATGACAAAATTATCTTTGTAACACACTTAAATGTACATCTTAATATAAGATAGCCATTATAAAACACACTCATTCTCCTCCAAAAGCACAAATTTCTCATCTAAATTGTTATCCTTTGATAGGATGCCCCTTAAAGAAATGCATCAGCCTAGCAATGTACCTGTTATCATAAGTAGGTGGAGAGTAAGAGAAAGGCAAATACCTGAATCAAAAGGAGGTTATTACTACAAACAATATATTAGAAAACATGTGCAGTCAGAAAACATAAATGCATTTAGTATATCCAAAAATTAACAATAACAATTATCACCATTATATGTATGAAACCTTATGCCCTTTAATTTAGTTTGGTCCCAAAAGCATCTTTTCAATAAAGCCTGTTGTTCCCACAGAAAAGTTAATCTTTGAAGACAGCAAGAGTAAACATATCACAATAACACATTTGGAACTTAACCCTTTGATGACAACTAATGCGGAAATATTAGTCTCTTTTAAGGCTATGAAAACTATCAGGGTCAGTCTGTTGTTAGACTATGGAAATTGTTGAGGTCCCACTAGTGAGCAAAAGCTGGAAAATACTGCCATGCAGCCTCTTCCTTACCCACCAAGGGGAGTCCTGTTTAGCAGTCCCTCTAAACCCAAGAATTTTCATTAATTACTTTGACAAAGTTTATTTAACATCCCATAAAAACCAGATTATAACAAATAATACATTATTTGTAACCAATAAAAGTTTTGGAATGATTATATTTACACAACACTGTGCAGTACATCTTTTTAATCTGTTAGGAACCTGGGGGGAAAAGCGTTCCTTTAACTTTAATAATCTTTATTATAAGCAATTTAAATTATAGGCAAATATCTATTACAAAACCTTTTTTAAGGCAAGAAAAGGGAAAAAATTTTGAGTTCAAACAGAACAGATGTATGATTGGACAGACTGACACACGAAATAATTTATAAAACTAGAGTGCACTCAAATATAGTTAATTTAATTATAATATCCTTTTATAATTTTAGGTTCATAATTGTAAATAATACTAGTCAAAACTTTTTGTAAATCAATTAACAGAGATCTCTTGTAGAATTAGAATCAGAAGAAATGAAAGCTCTTTATGCTTATAAACGCAAATGTTTCAGAACAAACTTGAAACCAACAAGCATATTTCCTTGATAAATCACTTCCACACACCTTCTCAACACATCTAGGCCTTCTGGTCTTGCTTATCTTTCTTTATCCTTCTAACAAGAAAAACATACTAAATCTTTTCATATCAAAAGTGTATCTCTTTTATTTATAGCCTTAATATTTTTCCTTTGTCTCACTTACTATAAACCTTCTATAACAAACTTGTCTTCAGCTGTTAAAATTTTTTAAAGTTTCCCTTTTTTTCTGTTCTCAGATTGTTACATTTAAAATTTGAGTGGCTGCCAATAGAACAGTACTAACCTTGAGTTCTTCATCAACAAAATACAGAAAAGAGCAAGTTAACTCTATAATTACAATTCAAGAATTTGCAATGCACCAGAAATATTTTAGGCACACCAATTAAGCATCACCTCAAATTGAAATAAGGATACATTTATCAATTAGCTAAAATTTGCAACTTGACCTCTCGTGTAAAATCTCTTTGTGTCTGGTAGAGAGCACAGTTGCAGTTTTTTTGGCTTTTTTTAGATTCCAGAACTTGGCAGGCAGCGTCAGGCTGGTGACACAGTGCTGACCTTTGGGCTCTTAAAGCTAGGAGTGTTTTTTCTCACTATTTTGCTGTGTGCTCTTCTGAGATTTCCTATTTGTTTTTAATCCATTACTTATCTTCTCATTTCAGTTCTTTCCAAGGTGAACGCAAGCCTCAACCCTGAGTCCAATCACAGCCCAAACCCTCCAGTGCACTAAGGCCACATAGTTCTCCTCATACTCCCCCCCCTCCAACCTTCTCTGCTCTTGTATCTTAGCAACTCAACTGAGGGGGAGGCAGCTTGAACCCCTCTAGAGGGAAAGCACTGGGGTTTGCCTGTAACGACGTCACATTTTCTGAGAGGCAAATCCACCATGTAAGACAGCAGATACGGCAGGCAGGTGTTCTAAGAATGAAGCCAGTCTTGCCAGTGGCTGACTGCCACAGAGCAGAAGCTGGAAGGCTCACAGGGTCGGATATTCAGGCTGCAAAACAGAGTGCGAGAGGCTCCAAGTTGTCAAGGTCTCAGCTAAAATCTCAAGAGAGATAACTTTCCTTCTTTGTTGAGCTGTCTGAATGTTATTTTTGACACACTCCCTAAGTTCCACATCTAAAGTTCTTGTTTGTAGAAAATGACGGTTATATTTAATCATCTTTTGCAAAATTTAATCCAATACTACAGGCCAACTTGGGCCAAAAGTGAGTTTGTATATTTATTTTTTTGCAGCATTTATTTCAACACTGCAGGCCATCTTGGGCTGAAAGTGGTTACTCTGTGTTTTAGTCCCAGATGACTCCCGTTACTACCTTCTCACGTGGGAAGTACCTACCTCTTATTTTTTCTGGGATTTTGTGCTTACCCTTGACGTGATGTAAGGTGCACTACATCATCGATTCTTTTATTTTTTCTTTTCTTTTTATTCCTTTTTATTCTGAGCAGCCTCACTGAGCCGGTGATTGCTCATGGTTCAAGCCCCACACTGGATGCCAACCGCCAGAGACTCCTGCAGTAAATCTCTAGTCCCCACCTGCCCACTGTGTGACATAGGCCTGAGGAAAAAAATACACTGAGAGGCAGACTAAGAGAGAGAAAGCAGGGCCAAGACGACCATAGCCAGGGCAACCAACTGACAAAGGCACTGGACAGTCCCAGGCCCTGACTTTCATTGGTAATCAATGGGGGAAAAGGGGATGTGCAGTTTCTATGGAAATGAATGTAAACAAGGCTCAGAAAGGAGAAGACAAAACAGGAACAGAATAGATACAATATATGATTGTAATTAGAACACTGTCCTTCTAGTCTGAAGGTTTTAGTTGTGGGAACAGAATTTGGGTGTGAGTTACTCTGACCTCCATGGCACGTAGGCTTCAGCCAGACTCACTTCTATAAACGGCTAACTGTGGGGTTGACTCTTCACAGCCTGTTTTGGGTATAATCAATATTATGGTCCTCTGCACTCAACCGCCTATCCCTGAGGCATTTTGTTATGGCAGTACAGCGTGAACTCGGTTACATAGGCTTTATATTTATTTTATTCATGCCAAAGTATTTCATAAACCTGCTCTCATTTCATTAAAATATTTCCAGATCATTACTTCAATATCTTCACAGTGTTTCCTCATCGATTACAGCTCTCTCAGTGAGTCCTCTACTGTTGACCATTTACATTTAAACAAAATATGTCCACACATTCCCAAATCAGTGCTCTACAGTAAATTCTCATAAACTAATTTGCTGAGTCAAAGATAAAAATGAAACAGTTGCTTTCAGACTTTTGTTTCCTGCAGCTAAACTGTTCTGAAGTATTTGAGAGTTCTCATACCCCTAAACTCTAGGCTTTCCAATCCGTGCTTTAATTTGTATAATAGAGCCATAAAGACTGTATGTGACTGTTGATTATATAAATGGTTTTCTAAATGAATTAAAATAGTTACTCATTCATTCACTCTTTCATTCAACAAAAAGGTGAATCTGTAGTTGCCACTGGTCTCACCCTGTGCTGTGGCTTTGGTGTGGCCCTGACCCACAGACACATGCTTACCGTCATGGGGATAAGATTCCAGAGGACAAAGGTCTGTGAGTACCCAAGGGATGAAAGAGAAATGCAGAGTAACATGAAGGCTGACAATAGAAAGACCAAGCTAGACTGGGCACCCAGAAGGGAAGAGTTTACCCCAAGACAAAAAGGATAGTGAGCAAGAACTAGGAGATGAGCAGAGGAAGGGCAGCAAGAACAACCAAGAAACGAGGGAAGTATGTGCAAAGGCCCTTAGGTATAATTCATATATTTGCTTAATTTTCTAGTATGTAAGTGCTCCATTCTGGAAAGAGGATCCTGAACTCCAGAGGCCCATCTCCTGAATGCCAATCGTGCCAATGATGAGAACACACAGAGCACAGAGGAAGTGGAACACGCCTCCTGCCTCTTGTCTAGGACTCCTCTCCTGGGTGTGCTTGTGTGTCTCCATCATCCTTGCCAACACAGCAAGAAGTGTCTCTTCATCATTCCCTGACACCCTCCCAGCCAACCACGTGATGGCAGTGATTTACAACACCTGTACATCCCAGGCAGATTAGAAAGAGAAATCTCCATAATTATACAGGCTTGCTGTTATTTAAATATTTACCAACATTAAACACCAAAGGGCTGTGCAAATGATCCAGGGACTCATATTGTTCTAAGCTAATATTCTTTGTACAATATTATGCAAATTGCATAAACTTTATTTTGTTGTTGTTGCTGCAAGCGGTATATCCCAAGGCAGCCATTCACTAAGTTGAAGCAGATAAAGTTTTAATAATAAATAGTGACGATGAATAAGTCACAAAGTTTGTACAATGCTAATGCACTCGCTCACCCTAGGGTAGTTTATTAGATAAACAAGTAACATTTCCTGCTTTGCTCTTGCTCAAGTGGCATCGTTTTCCTGGAAATGTCTGTGCAATAAATTATTTCAACCCATTAGGTGTTAACAAACAAATCATATTCACTTGCAATCTGTCGTGAATTGCTGAGAATTGAGATTTAAATACTGAAATTATACATTAATTTTACTTTGCAACAACAAAGCTGGTTAAGAGAAATTAAACTTGGCTGAAATGGGAACAAAACAGTATGCCTGATGCTGAATATTTTAAGCCTGCAAAGGAGGCTGCGAATTGTTTCATTAATATTCAGAACACTTGGGCATTTGTCACAATGAGAAAAATGCAAATAATAGTGTCATGCCTTGGGAATACCCACTAGCAGGACCGTGTCTGGGCAGTCGGTGTGTCTGCCCACAGGATGCCAGTGCTGGTTCGGCATGGGTCAGGGCCCCTTGCGCCTGTGTGCTGGGCTGGAGCTCTCTGGGCAGAACTGATCCCAAGCCAAAAGGTATCATCCATCTTTGCCCGTAATAGCCTGCTTCCATTTAGAAAGGCGAGTGAAGAACATCTTGAAGAATTTATCCATTAGCAAATAGCTGGAAACAACTTCCATGTGCATCAGAGGGTGGAGGATAAGAAGAAAATGCTGTCCATCTGGATAATAAAGATGTCTCTAGGTACAAAACAGGAAGAGGCAACCCATATGGTCCAAAATTAATTTCCAAATTTAAGTTGCTTTCATGAATTTTATTGAAGAAAATCATATTTTCAGAAACATGTGCAAAACCATATGACGATGAATTTTCCTGAAGTGAACACAGTTGGGGAACCAACGCCCACATCAGCTAGATCCCCTGTCCCCCTCCCAATGACCACACCCTAACTTTGGACACCGCAGCTAAGTGTGGGTGCCATCGACTCTTCCACCTCTGGATTCTCAGTCAGGACAACATCTGCAAGCCTTGCCCACTTGTTGCTGGCAGTGGTCCTCTGCCTGTTCTCCTAATTCACCTCGTTAAAGGCTGGTGTTCCACTGTCTAAACACGCTGCAAGTTAACTCTTTCTCCTCCTCGTGATGGGTACTCGAATGCTCTCCAGGTTTCACTATTACAAATCATAATGCCTTAAACATTCTTGCATATATCGCTGGTGAGTGCCAGGGTTTGATTTTTAAATATAAACATAGTTGCAGACGGTGCTGTGGTGCCTCCGTTGGAATGAAAAGGGAGTGGTGTCGCACAAGCATGCACGTGTGCATGTTCACCAGTGACGTATGAAGAAACCATTTCTGCCTTTCCCAAAATAACACCCATACCTGCTGGTGAGAAAGGCAGGAGGGGGCCTTACTATCATTGCTTATACTTTCATACTATTCTACATTTTCCAAGTGTGTAGATCAAGTTTTCAACATAAATTAATCAGAGGTAAGGGAACATAATGAATTGAAACTCATTTGGGTTCTGTCTGGGCATGCGGTCATTATTGTAACAGTAAATTTTATTTTCCTTCAGCTGTGCCTCCCAGCTTGCAAAATACTTTGCCAATGTGTATCTGATGCGCTTCTCATAATAACAGTGAGAAGCAGCATTTCCATAACCATCTCTGCGCACAGCTAAGCTGCCTGGTTGGCTTGAAATGAGCATTATTCAGTAACCCTGCTTCACCAAGGGGGAGATAACCAAGCAAAAAGGCTGTCACAAGGAGAGAATGCAGTGCTCAGCTGTCCACTGCATCCGTTAGAGGCCCAGGAATCTTATTTGCTTGCCCAACTCCTCTTTGATATAGGAGTTGGGCAGAAGCAGACCAACCATCCTAGTATTCCTGGTGTCTGTCACGCATTACCAAACTGTACTCTTCATTTAAATATGTATTGAGTCTCTACAACATCTTGACACAAGAGATAAATAGAACAGATATTCTATTTGTTTACATGAAGTTCGTGGTCAAGTAGAGAGGACCTACTCACAAGTACATGGTCTAGTGGGTAACGCCTGGCTTCCTTCTTCATTTGTAAATTGGAATCACTTTTAATTCAGCTAGCCTGCACTTAAATCATAGTTCCACTCTAAGCCACCAGCCTTGCTAACCTCACAGAGCTACTCAAGCCCTGTAAGTGTCTGAACCCACAAAGCAGGCGCCAGAGCCTGTCCCACAGGGTCATGAAGATAGCACACTGAGATGACAGATACAAAATGCTTGCTAGAGTTCCCGGGGAATCCACTGAAGTTCTCTGAGCACTGTCTAGTACGAACCTGTTCTAACCCAGACCCTGAAATGCAGCTGATGCTAAATAAATGTCTTTTGCATGGATTTAATTTGCCCCTGGAAGCTCCTAATTCTTGGTGCTGAGGATCAAACCCAGGGCTTCACACACAGCAGGCAAACACTACCATTGAGCCACATCTCCAACCTAGAACACAGAGCCTAATCCCGGTAGCTCCCTGCTACCCCAAGCTATTTTCACAAGCCTCTGGAACACACGGGATCTCTAGAATCGCTTCCAGGGTGCTACTGAACAGCCACGTGGACCTGGCTCCCATTAACTCCTCACTTTGTATCCACTGAGGGCCAGGCTCTTTTCCATAGATCTTCCACAACACCGTTCCGCAATACCACTGCGCTACAGACCGGGCCTCACTGTGTGAACTTCTAGTGGCCTCAGACTATTGAGGTTGAGAGCAGGGTGACAGATAACAGCTGTCCAGTGCAGTGCGCAGCTGTAGAAGTAGATCTGGAAACCAAGTGGTATCCAACAATCCCTGTCATAAACGATTACTTTGTGGAATCAGCATCCGCTGGCACAGCTCTCTCCAAAGCCTACGGGGCTCCGTGGCTGCATCCGCACTATTTTCTCAGAGCAGTACAATCTGTCTCCGCATTTATGACACAACATTAGTGAAGACGGTAGGTGCAACTGGTAAAATCACTGCCATGAAAAGAAAGACAATATAAATCTGTAGTCTAAGGACATGACAGCTCCAAACTGTTCATACCACATGAAGCAGGAGAATGAGACCAGGAAGAAGACCCTCGCTCCCTTTATCTTGTATCCTGTGCTGAACAAAGGGGACCATGGTTCCCATAGCTGTCATGCCCCTCCCCTGCACTTCCTTTCCCGCCCCCAGCCCCCGCACCTGCTTCCGATATGGACTGGAACAGCTTGCCTTGGTGTCCCCTGAGGTCTGTCAGTGGCCACTCTTCCCAGGATGCTAGCAGCCCTAGTGTCCCTCCCTTGCTTCCTTCACTCCGGATGCTGCAGCAGCCTCTTTGAAAAAAAAAAAAAAGTTTTACAGGGCACTATCCTGGCTTGGCTAAGGTCAGGGAGGGTGGAATTTGGACCATCATTTACATTTCCCAACTTTCCAAGCCCCAGTAAGCTGACACGAACACATGCGGCCTTTCTCGATTCCCAGGTTTCACCCCACCCACCCATTTTTCATGGAGATCCTATAGCTGTCAGTCAAAAAGCACCTGTCACCAAGCCCTCTTATTATATCCCAGCCATGACAGCTACAGCTGTCTAGGATGCCCTGAACCCACTTGAACAAATCACTGGCTTGCATGTGGACCAATAACAGTTTGCAGCTGCTGTATCTGTGAGAAACCTCACACTTGGGTTAATCTAGGAGGGGTCCCTCTAGCATCGTGACCTCCCAATCCTGACACACAAGTACAGCCTTGCTCTGGTGGCCCTGTAATTCTACTCATGATTTATTTCTCCAGTAGTGTGGGCTCGATATGTCTGTAAATCTACTCAGGATTCCTACTCTGAATAGTGTGGACAGAGTGGTCACTTAAAAGAGAAAACAGTGGACACTAGGCACTGTTAGCTCTGCAGAGCCCCAGAGACTAGCAGCCAAAAAAGACCAGCGAGGGAGAACAATGCCCAGTGGCACCAGCACAAGCCAGGATCCAGCAGTGGTAGAGACCAGGGCTACAATAGCCAACCTAACTCCATCTTGAGCCTCAACGCCATTTTGTACCCGTGCTTGAATAAAGTGCTTGTGCTTGGAGAAAGCACTCAAAACCCCTGCATCCTGTTTGGCAGTAAATTTGTTCAGTTGAAGGATATTTTGCTGCTCACCTAGTGTGTGAAACTTCCCTATGCCCTCCACTCCCCACTAACCTGGAGTGGTTCTGCTTCTGTAAGATTCTGCTTGCTCTCCCCTGAGCTTTCCCAACTGAAGGCATGATTTAAAAAGAGAAATCAAACCAATTCCCATTGGCAAGAGAACTTTCCAGGCAGTAGCCCCCTTGGCCACCAGCTTAATAAGTGGGCTCAAATCTGACACAGAGTGTGGTGCATCTCCATTGTTCTAACTCACTTGTTCATAACAGAGCCAGCAGTGTCCACCGCTGGCATCCCAAATTAAACTGTGCCCACCTGTGGCATCACAGCCACGAGTAGAGCTGTTTTTGTAGATTCACGATTTCAATCTGAAGGAAGCAAAGAACACTCAACAGAATGGCAACAAGAACAAGACAAATAAGCCACAAAATCAAGGTTTTTAAAGACCTATGGGGAGGTGAAAACAAGAAACCTAAATCATCTAAATCCCTAAGGGACAAGACTTCTGAACCCAGGTGATTTGTACAGTAGATGGGACCAACACAGCACCCAACACCAACCCTGGCAAAGACCACAGTACCTCTTAAGGGGTGAGTACAACTCACTCAATGTCTTCTGCTTTTTCACAGCTGGAGTAGGGTGAGCCATGAGACATACAAACAAGGAGGAGAAGATGACCCACCCTCAAGAGAAAAACAGTAACCACAAGCACAGCCATACATGATCTAGTCATTAAATTAGCAGCCAATGACTTAAGTATAACAGTGACAGATGTTAGACACCTCACACAGAAGGGACATGTGCGGACAGGTGGGAAATTTTTCCAGAAAATTAACTTAAATAACAGCTGAATGTTTAAAAATTTAAAAGCATAGTATGAAAAATTAATATTTTTTTCAACAGGCTTAACAAAAAGCTGGGCACAGCAGCAGAAAGGGACCAATAATCACAAAGAAAAAACGTTAATGAAACAGAGGTAGAAAGCAATTTGCTAACACTAGAAGATTATGTCTGAACATCATGTGTCAATACCAAATACTTAAATATAGCACAAATGGAGTCCCAACAAGATAGGAGACAACATGGGGTAAGGAAAAGTATGTTCCTAACATCACAGACAGAAATTACTAAAAGATGATAAGAAATAACAGTGTGGAGCACCATAAATCTCAGCAAACACCAGAAGGGACAGACAGATGCACACACACTCTCACACACACACACACACACACACACACACACACACAGCCATGATATCATAGTCAAGCTGTTGAAATCAAAGAAAGAAAAAATCCCCTGGGAGAATATGATGTTGCCTGAACTGGAACAGCAGCAAGAATGTGTCACCACTCAGCAGGAACCATGGAAGCCCAAACACGGGAGTCATTTTAAAAGTCAAAGAGGAGAAAAAAAACTCAACATGGCATACTCTATATAGTTAAAATAGATGTTAAAAATTAGGAAATATACAGATCTTTTAGATGGACAAAAGCTGAAAAAAGTTATATCCAATAGAGAAGTGCTTAAAAAAAAAAAAAAAAAAAAGATAAGCCACACACAGTGGCTCATGCCTTTAAGCCCAGGAAGGGGGCAGGAAGATACAAGTTCAAGCACAGCCTGGGAAACTTAGGGGATTAGTGAGATCTTGTCTCCAATTAAAAAAACATTTTTTTAAAAGGTTTGGGGACATGCTTCATTGTGAAAGCTCTAGGTTCAATCCTCAGTACTAATGCCAAAAATAAAAATGGTAAATTGTATTATTTTAGGATTATGAGAAATGATATCAAACTACAACTGTTTAAAACACAAATAAAGTTTTCAAAGTTTACAACATACACAGAAGTGAAATATATGGCAATAAAAGCACAAAGTGTTAGGAACTAAATGGAATTACAAGATATTTACATTTTATGAAGTGCTACAACATTATTTGAAGCTGTCTCTGATAATTTAAAGATAAATATTATAATATCTAAAACAGCCATTAAGATAAGTTTTAACAGATAAAATTTAAAAAGATAAATGGAATACTTAAAAATATTCCCTTAACCCAAAGGAGAGTAGAGAAAAAGTAAGATAAGAATAAAGAATAAATGGAACAAATAAGAAAAAAATGACAAAATGGCAGGCTTAAATCTAACCACATTGACAACCATATTAAAAATTTGTAGACTGAACATTCCATGTAAAAGGCAGAGTTGTCAGATTTTGGGGAGGAAAAAAAAAGAAAACTCAGCTATATGCCACTCACTAGAAGCATTATTTACATATAGACATCTAGGTTGAAAGCAAATATATGGAAACAATTTTATCAGGCAAAGAACAACCAACACATTACTACCAGGAAAAGTACTTGTAAACAAATAACACACTAGAAACAAGGGGCATTCCCTAATTATTGAAGGGTTAATTCATTAATAATACATAACCCTAAGTGCTATGCAAACAAAAACATTGAGAAAACAAATGGAAGGAAAGGTGAGAGAGAGAAATCTTAATTGCAGTTGTTGCCACTTTCTTGTTCGTAATTACTAGAACAACTAAAGAGTAAATTCCTAAGAACACAAAACATTTGCTCAACACCATCAATCAACCTGAGTGTTGAAACACAGAACAATAATGGGTTATAAAAATAAGACTTAAATTTAAAGGACTGAAACATACAGAGTATGTTCTTGGATCAAAATGATATAAGTAAGGCAACAGGACTGTTAGAAATCCTAGCATGGTTAAAAATTAACCAAAATGCCTCTAAATAATGCATAAATCAAAGAATAAACCACAAGGGAAAACAGACAGTAGATTAATTGAATAATAATAAAAGAAACAGAATATCAAAAATATCAAAATTGTAGGGTGCTGCTAAAGTCATAGAGACAATGTATATTTTTAAATATATGCATACATGATACATTTTAAAAGAAGGTTTAAGATGAGGAACCCAGCTTTTGATTTAATTAGCCAGGTAAATATAAACAAATTTAACCAAAGGAAATAAAATGATAGAAATGATTTTAATTGTATAATAAGCAAAGAAATAGAAAACAATAACAGTAGCAAAAAGCAAAAGATTACTTGAGAAGATTAGTAAAATTGGTAAATTCATAGGAAGACTGATAAAGTAAAAAAGAGAGAAAATGAAAATCCTTAGTGTGGAGAATCAAAGTGGGGATGTGGTTAGTGATCTTACAGCTTTTGCATAAATAACAGAGAATGAATGATTTTACCAATAACTCAACAACTCAGATAAAATTATTGAAAAACACAGCAAGTGTAGCAGGGATTAATATATCTATATAGAAGAATTGAATTTATAATAAAAATCCTTCCTACAAAGTCAAATATAATTCCAGAGAGCCTCAATACAAATGATAACCAATGTTTAAGGGGGAAAATAATGTCATATGTACACTTTTTACAGGGAAAAAGGAGCAAGGCACACTTTCCACTTGTTTTAGGACAGCATAAGGCCAGTACATACTGACAAATGCAAACTAAACAAAATTATAGGCCAGTATCCTTCATAATACAATTGTAAAAATATTACATGATAAAATGTAACATATATCATGACTGAAAAGAGCTTATCCTAGGGATTCTAGTGGATAAGTCTAGTCTGCCTCAAAAGGCAGACTAACTCACCACAATAATACAATTAAAGACAATAACTATATGTTCATCTAAATAAATGCAGAAAAAACCTTTGACAACATGCTAAACCCATAAATAATTTCCTAAAGCTTTTAAGAAAATAGGAACGGTAGAGCAATTTCAAATTTTGCTAAGGGGTTATAACTCCTTCAGAGGAGTAGAAATGTTTTCCTTTTCATGTAAGGAACACACCAATCCCATTCAACACTGCAGTAGAGGCCTTAGCTGTTGCAATATTGAAACAAGACTTAAAGGAAAACAAGTTTTTCCCAGCCTTGGGCAGTCCCACCCCCAGATCCAGATCACCACCATCTCCTCCCCATAGGTATAATTCCTTATGCTGATACAGAGAAAATTGTCAACTCTGTCTTGTAACAAAGTTTATGTCATTTTGTTCTCATAAGACTCACAAGGCTCTGTCTTCTTTCAAGGCTCAATTGCAAAACTATCTCCCTTTGTCCTGTTTCTGTAAACTTGCTTGCTACATCACTAGAAAGACCAACTCCTTTGACCAAATAT